CAGTGAAATAGTCAATATGTGAGTTTAAGAAATGAACTTTCAAGCTCATATTACCGCCCAACTCTTCGAATTTATCGAGCATTTTATTGACAATATTTTCGTAATTTGGGTCCTTGTTATTTCCTAAACATTTGTCAATAACATCTTTAAAGGGAATCCACGCTTTTTTTTCCAACTTTTCTCATTGTTCTTTCCTAACATGAGACCCAACAAAAATCCGTTCTTTAAGTTTCGTTTCTGAAAGAGCTGGAAATTGTCTACATAGATACTTGGAACAGTCGCCATCCTTGTTTAAGACTTTTACAGACTGCTTCACGAAGGCCATTTTTATGTGAAGTGGAGGTAATAGGATTTTCTTTGTATCAACTAAACTTTCACGTTCAATTTTTTTCGATCTTGCTATGAGGCTGATTCTGCATGGCTATTGCATCTTTATCCAGTGCTGATTTCGTGCTCTGCTGTCCCATTCACACAAAAAACACGGAACGTTGTATAACCGGATTCTTGACCCAACAACATACAAAGAACTTTTAAGTCTCCACAAAGTAGCCAACCATGTTCCTTGTTTTTGACCATATTAAGAAGAAGTTCGAGATTTTAGTACATTTCCTTCAAGTGAACCGAGTAAGTAACAGGAACAGATGCATATATGTTACCATTGTGAAGGAGAACACTTTTTATACTTTTGGAGGAATCATTGAAAAATCGCCACTCACTTGGTTCATAGGCTGAAACTCATAGCATTGGTATTAATTCAGCAATATTGTTGCAATAAACCAGTGAATCTTCTTGCGAAAAGTATGATATAAACACTTTCTTACTATTTCTGTACCAGTAAAATGATGTCCTGGAGAAAGTAAGTTCTTAGCCCAAAGTCTGGACCCCAAAGTCTCTGAAAAATTCTTTGGAAGACCCAAATCTCTCACCAAATCATTAAGTTCACCTTGTTTGAAAAGTTGTGGTTCACCAGACGTTTCAGCTTGAAAACATTCCTTATCATCATTTATATTGACATCAGATTCAGAATAAGATGAAA